CACACACACACACACACATCTGCCAGGGGAAGGGAAAGATTGGATGGATATCTCCTGGCTTCGTCGCTGCGACTCATTTGGCTTCCAGTCAGCATGACTGAGGCTTGTAAATTATTACATCTGTTCAAATCTAACCAAAAGTACCACAAACGTGAGCCTGCTCATGCATGTATACAAGCAAGAAGGGGTAGTTTTTCYTATTTATGCTTCGGAGTGCTTTTCATACTGCCCGTGGGCCTTCTGTCTCATCTTCAGTTCTGGTCTTTACTCGCAACGGGACTCTCAACACACGGCCTTCCCTTTGCCTGTGGCGGCACGCTGTATGCTCGATTGCACACGTGTATAGCTGTGTATCCACCTTGAAGTGCGCCTGAAATGTGATACAGAAATGTATGCTACAGCTTGCTCATGTTAGCCAAAAAATTTTTTGCCCCTTGGAGAAATCTTGCTCAGCATTGCTCCCTAGTGGAAAGAGTGTTAAAAGTCCCATTATGAAGGAAAACTGATCAGGTGAAAGTCCATGATAATGATTTATTTTTAATCATTTAAGCTAAACTAAATGTTTAGTTTGATGTTGGGTCTATTTTTTTCCTCTTCTTGGATTAAGCATGAAAGTGATGCAAAACCATGTGGCGTTCAGGGACAAGCGTAAAACACAACTACGTGGAAAATCAATATTTTATTAACAGTTTGTGGGATAAGTTAGGGGGACAATTACGTGACATGACCTAAAACTGACGCCACCCCCGTGACAACCTGCATACAGTCACTTTCTCACCTCCAGCGCCTTAGCAACCACGAAGCGCGTGAACACAAACATAAACACGCAGAAACGCGCACGAACACACCGCGGCTGTTACACCGAGACGAAATTAACACACAGCTGGTCGGGCAGGTTGGGTGCCTGACAGGAAAGAAAAATCTGCAATTCAGTGGTCTGCTTTTATGCTTTGGAGGGAAACACGCGCGCGCGCGCGCACGGAGAGAGCATCTGAATTCCTTCAGCGTGAACCGCTCTCATCTTCTCTCATCTTCATCCTTTTTTTTTTTTCACGCTAAACTCATAAACCAGCGAGTCAGGGAGAAACGATGGTTGCAAAAAAAATGAGACGAAGAAGAAAAACGGAGCCCCTTATCCCCGACTCGACACCACAACTCTGCCCGCGTTGTGCGCGTGTGCTGTCGGTTAACCGTCATTCTCGCAGTCGCTGGTTCAGCACCAGCGTCCGTGTTTTCGGGACCGGGCCAGAGAGAGGAGAGGGAAAGCCCCGCCGTTATCTCTGCCCTCCTCCGTGACTAAAGGTCCCATCCTCGCTCGCCTCGGCGGAACCTCGCCCCCCCTTCCCCCCCCCTCTCTACTCAGCTGGAAAACAAAACAAAAAAATAATATCCGGACTTCGCCGCCTCAAATAAAACCCGTTAGTGTTTCTCCTTACCTTCCGGCTTGTTTTCGGCAGCCATTTCCCCTCCGCCGCGCGCCTCATCCCTCCTCCTCCTCCTCCTCTTCCTCCTCCTCCTCCTCTTCCTCGACTCGACCTAGTGTTGGCGGGAGGGGTGGTGGTGGGGGGGGAGGACCGCGCGCGTGCACGGAGAGGACAGCTCAAGGA